TCAAATTTACATTATCCAGTGGTGAAATTCTTTATTTTCACTAGGAAATTCAAGAAATACTATTCTTATTATAAAATTTAAATTATTTAATAGTGAAAATTTCTAATTTTCATTAGAAAATTCAAGAAATACCACTTCTCAATATCAAGTTTACTTTATTCGATAGTAAAAACAAGGAAGAACGCTATAGTCGAGTACCTCGACTATCAGATACCCGTTACTCAAAGGGAAATGGAGATATGCAAGCAGCAAAGCGAAATTAAAATGCGCCACCTACCGGCGGTAGACAGATTTAAGCGTTATGGGCGTGGCAAATTTATTTTTGGATCAATCGATAGGTATTGACGACACCAATACATTTCAGTTAAAATTTTTCATCTAGCATCCAAATTGTGGGCGTCACAGGTTTTCGCGGTTTGTGGGCGTTTAAGTGGGCGTGGCAAACTTTTTTTTAGGTCAATCGATGGTATTGATGAGAACAATACATTTCAGTTAAAATTTTCTATCTAGCATCAAAACTGTAGGAGTTTCAGTTTTGGGCGGTTTGTGGGCGTTAGAGTGGGCGTGGCAGTCTACTGAAACAAACTTGCGCTGCGTAAGAAGCTCAGGAATCTGTACGCCAAATCTCAATAGCCTAACTCTCATAGTTTCCGAGATCTCAGCGTTCATCCGGACAGACAGACGGACAGACGGACAGACGGTCAGACGGACAGACGGACAGACGGACAGACGGACAGACGGACATGGCTAGATCGACTCGGCTAGTGATCCTGATCAAGAATATATATACTTTATGGGGTCGGAAACGCTTCCTTCTGCCTGTTACATACTTTCCGACGACTCTAGTATACCCTTTTACTCTACGAGTAACGGGTATAATAATACGTAATAAATGTACCATGCCATTCTGAAACTGATTCTAAAGTGTTTTTTTTTTGTGTCGCATTGTGATTGACCACAAAGATTGACGATATTGATTTACGGCAACAGTTAGCAGAAGGTGTGGGGCAAAATTGGCCAGAAATGAGGCTTAATGCTGAGCCAGGGCCAACTGTCGCCAGTCTGTATTCGCCACTAGGGTTTCCCTTCAGCTTCTGCTGACACTTGAGCACCGGGCACTGGGCTCCCCTGGTAAATCACACATGAGCCGGGCCAAGTGGTGAACCAAAAGCCAGGCCAATAAGCACTCAGTTAGCTGCAACTGGTAACTCGAGCCCACAAAAAGGAGTGGAAAATCAGGCAAGAAGGGAAGAAGTTGGCCAAATCGACGCCAGAACAAATTGAGCAGAAAACCAGAAGGCGCCATCGAGGAGAGGAACTCGGTATGGTAACAATCCTTTTCGGGCCATCATGGTATTTTGACACTTGCCACTCAACGACAACAGTTATTTGGGCTTATAATGAATATGAGCAACACACCGAAGGTCATTCTGCTGCCCAAGAGAAGTCCTTCAAGGTCCTGTTGGGTTCTATTTTTTTTTTTTGAATTTTTGTATTGGTGACATGTGGCGCCAAGTAGTCATTCGCAAAAACCAAAGCAATTTCCGGACCCGGCAACAAACAGGAAACCCTAGCTGAAAGATAGATAAATTCCAGACTTACTTTGAGGCCCGGGCTCTAATGAAGACAGCTACAAAATGTCTTTACCTAATGAATGACAGTTCAGGGAATTGTCAGGGGGATTTCTGGACTGACTGACTGCCTGGAATGAAACTCACACCCCTCTGTGGACATGGATAGCCCAAGAAAAGCTCTTTGACTCATTAAAAATTAGAATTCGGGGAGAGCTTTGCTATATTCTTTAACAGCACTCTGCAAAAGCAAAGAAAACTGGATAATATGACTTAAAAAAGAAGGCTTCCATTTAAAAATGTTCCATTCATCTGGAAAAATTATCTTAGAAAAAATTATTTTGGAATATAACTATAAATAAAGCATTATATTATTTTTATATCAAAGCGGCCAAATGAAGTACTTTATGTTAAAAAAACATTTTTAAGTATTATTAATATTATTCTATGTTATCTTAGAGATATAATACAAGACAACAGAGGGTTTTATTATGAACCTTTGCTAGCATATAAGACATACCTACTTATATGATAGGTATGTTTCAAAATAATATTTTTGGAAATTCACGAATTATATATTAGAAAAAGTATGTATTATAATTTTTTACAGTTCTTGTATCTTCCTGAAGTGTATATCATATCCACCCTTATCATTAGCTTAATTCCTTAGCTATTTTTTTCGCTTTATCCATTTCTTTTTTCGCTAAAATCAACAAGAATTTTTAATTTCATTTCACAAACGTCGCTTTGATACCTGCACGCCGCATTAACACCCCCAAATCCCCCAAACCAAAAACGCCTCCCCCAAAAAATACAAAAAATCCAAGGCTCGACCCAGAATTTCCGACTGATGGACTGACTGACTGAATGACTGACTACTGCCCAGCCCTTGACTGATAATTTGATATGCCTCGGCCTGTTTATGCGGTGGGTTCATAAGGGCGATAATGGTATGGGGGCGCTTTAATTTTATTTGCACAAAAATGCGCGTCAATATTAACGAAAAAATACATTTGGACAAGGCGACATTGCCGCGTGTTGTTTTCTTTTTTCCTTCCATTTTTTCTTTTTTCTCTGTGGCCAAAGCAAATAAAATTCATTATGAATTTCTAATTATATTGCCCGCCCAAAGGCAACCCTCAAAAAAAGCCAAAAGTTGCTCAAAAAAGTTTACATTTTTTCAAAGCCCCCTTTTTGGAAAATGTCAAGCCGCACATTTGACAATGATGAATTTCCTCTGTTGGCCAGCAACCCCCCAAAATAAAAAAGTGCCTTAGATAAACTGATTAGGCACATCAATTGGGCAAAGCACTCGTCTTTTCCTCTGGCCACCGAGGAAAACCTTCGCCTAATGGCAATTGTTTTGTGAAAATTGAATTTTCCTCTGTACTTCCGGGCATTGCATTGTCTGCCCGGTTACAAAAACTTTGGAAAAGCGTCGGCTGTCTAATTAGAAATATGAAATAAGGCAAATGTTTTGCGGTTTTCTGCACCTGCTGCCAGAGATAATGAGGCTGAAGGTGAGCCTGGGGGTGGCAGAGGTATTTGTTTAAATTATTATTGGACTTAATTATAGCCAAGTTGGGATCCAAAGAATGCGCAATAATGGAAACCAATTTCAAGTTATTCTTCGGGAGGGAGGTGAATAAAGTCTTGAGTGGTATTATACAAGTGCTTTCGATTATTCAGAAAGGGGTTCTTAAAGGACTTAAATGGTATTGTATTGTAATGTACCTAATGTTGCTTTTAAAGAAGTACCAAAATTCTATGAAAGCATTTGTTTCAAATATGCGGAAAGCTTCAAAAATGCACACATTATTAATAATAATGTGTTATAAATTCAAATAAAATATATTGTTTATAAGGAAAAATCCTATTTTATAGTATCATCCCCATTTTTATCTATAACTATTAAAGTTTTATGAAACACTAAAATAAAAGTCACTTAGTAAAGCTTAAATGTGTAATACAATCTGCCCATATAACACATTAATTCACACATTAAGCTATTTGGCTTTGATTTCTATTTGCCCAGCAATGATTGACTGATTGATGATATCGAAACCAGCCGAAATAAGCACACACAAAATGACCCAAAAAGACCAAAGCAAATAGTTTTGTAAATGGAAATGGGGATTTGTGGCTAATAGACAGTGGACATGGGCTAAGGTCAGAAGTGGTTGGATGGGTTTTATCTGGGGCACAATGATATGCCATAGAAGGAGTGTGGGGCAAACAATGAGATGATGATGAGCCGGGCCTCCGATATAAATCAAACAACAATGCGAGAGACACAGATACAGATATGGCTGCGGATAAAACTCACACACATTCAAGGACATTCGAGGATAATGCCGCCTCTCAGCACGAACACGCCTTTCAGCCCCGCCCCCTGATTTTCCACCCGATTTTCCGGGTTTTCATTGTCAACGCTAAGCAGCGTGTGAGGATTATTTCGCATTCTTCTCAAGGACCCGCCACATCCTTTTGTCTAATTGGTTGTGTCACATACGAGAGTACATCATACTTCGGTTCGGTTGGGATCGTATCGTATCGCATCGTATCGGATCCATCCCCATCGCATTGTTGTGACTGTTGTCATTAGCCGTCCTGTCCCATTTCGACTTTTGCCCAGGGTACATCTTTCACTGCTTTGTTTGGGGTATTTAATGCTTCAATTGATTCCTGATTTAAGTGCCTCCCCGCGGATCCAAAAACAGCTGCCGAAGATTCGGCAGCCCAGCAGGTTGTCCTCCATTCGAGAGTCGGGTCTTACTTACGGATGCCACAGTTCTGGGTCTGGCTAATTGAAAGTCTTTCACCTTCATCAAGAGCCTAATGACGACGATGATGATGCGCAAATAGAAGTAAATCACGAAAAAATGTATAGAATTCAGAGCTCCGGGAATCAAAGATATTAAATTAATAAGAGCGAACCCATTTATGACAAGTTTTATATAAGCTAATTGGGCAGAACCTACAAGCGATTTTAATTTTTAATAAATAAATTAAAGGATTAAAAAATATACCATTCGATTTTAGGTTTTTAAGAAAGTTCAGGAATTGATTTTTCATGACCTCCATAAGCAATGATATTTTCTTATATTTTTTTAAACTATTTTATATATATTCGTTATATTTCCCTGTGTAAGATTCTATTCTATCTAATTCTATGATTATCATAATTTAAACTAAGATCCGAGGCACTCACTAAAAACGTGAAATATATTCTCATAAAAAATACCACCTAAAAGTTGAGTCATGACGATTCGTAAACAATTTGAGCTGACAAAAACAAGCAATAACATTGGAAAATATTGACAGGAACTACGTAATACCTGAAAACCTGATAATGGCATCATCGGCAGAACTGTGAGATAAGCGAATTTCAACAGCTGAACTTAAAAGCTTTTGATTGAGATTTCAGTTGCTAATTATCAGTCATAAAGTCAGGACGTATTCTGCGCGTAAAAATGAGATTTCATTTAATTTACTTGCTGGGTTTGCTCAGTGTGTCAAGTTTAACCCATGGTGGCAATCTGATCTGTTATTATGACTCGGCCTCGTATTTGCGCGAAGGTCTGGCCAGATTGCATACGAGCGATCTGGAATTGGCCATGCAATTTTGCAGCCACTTGGTTTACGGATACGCGGGACTGAAAGCGGGAACCCATGAGTTATTCAGCTTAAATGTGGACCTGGATATGTTCTATTACAAGGACATTACAGCCCTGCGTCAGAAGTTTCCTGAACTGAAAATTCTCCTCAGTGTTGGCGGCGATCACGATGTGGATCTGGCTCATCCCAATAAGTATATAGAGCTTCTGGAGGCAAATCGCACGGCCCAGCAGAATTTCATAGATAGCAGCATGATCTTGCTGAAAAGAAATGGTTTCGATGGCCTTGATCTGGCTTTTCAGTTGCCCCGCAATAAGCCCAGAAAAGTACATGGATCTATTGGAACCTATTGGAAGTCGTTCAAGAAACTGTTTACCGGTGACTTTATAGTAGATCCCCAGGCGGAAGAGCACAAGTCACAGTTCACCGATCTCGTGGGGAATCTGAAAAATGCTTTCCGATCTGCCAGTCTAATGCTTACTTTAACTGTCTTGCCCAATGTGAATTCCACTTGTGAGTATTAATCAGAAAAAAATTATATTTTATATATTGTTATAAGAATTATTGGAATTTTAAATATAATACTTTTCAGGGTACTTTGATGTCCCCAAACTTCATCCCCAGTTCGATTATATTAACCTGGCTGCCTTTGACTTCCTTACCCCCTTGAGAAATCCCGAAGAGGCCGACTATACAGCTCCGATATTCTTCCTGGACGAACAGAACCGCTTGCCTCATTTGAATGTTGAATTCCAGGTTAATTACTGGCTGCAAAATCATTGTCCCGCCCAGAAGTTAAACTTGGGTATAGCTAGTTATGGCAGGGCCTGGAAATTGACCAAGGATTCTGAACTGAGTGGATATCCAGTAGTTCACGAGACATTTGGAGCTGCTCCTGGAGGTCAGCAAATCAAGAGTTCCGAGGGTTTGCTAAGTTGGCCAGAGATTTGCGGCAAAATATCGCAGAATTCATCAGCCCTGTATCGAGGAGAACAGGCGCCCCTCCGCAAGGTCACTGATATCACCCAGAAATACGGAAATTACGCCCTTCGTCCGGCGGATGAGAATGGAGATTATGGTTTCTGGGTGAGCTTCGATGATCCGGATTTTGCTGGAATTAAGGCAGGATATGTCAGGGGCAAAGGACTCGGCGGAGTTGCCGTATTCGATTTAAGTTACGATGACTTCCGGGGACTTTGCACTGGCATGAAGTTCCCCATTGTGCGATCCATAAAATACTTCATGGGCTAGAATATTTCTTTGTTATCTCTAATAGCTTAATAATTTGTTTCCACATAAATGTAGGCTTATTAAATAAACTCTACATTTGTAACCATCGAAATTAATAAGTTTCTTTATGTTTGGTAAGGAGAATTAAAGTTTTCATAGTAGGAAATCATCAAAGAAACATCAAAATCATTCACCAAAAAATATCGTCTTCACAAATTTCTTAATTAAGAAGATGAATTATTTTATAAGTTAGAAGATGTTTGGTAAAAAATAAAACACTTTGCTTAATTAAGAACACCATTTTTAAAATCGTAAGAATATTATAAGTGAATACCGAAATGGGACTTCCCGAAAACTACTTATACATCCACTAACATTTTCAAATATGTATTTTTGTTTTTCTATAAAGTAAAAAATATTCCCAAAATGTAATGTACTTCCTATTTACAAAATAAATCTGATTTACTGCGTGCGATAAACCATACCATCCGGTAGATGAGCAATTCCAACGCATTAAGTTCTATATTTACTTGCAAAATAAATCTGAAATACGGTTTTTGAATTATAATCAGCAGGCGCGTTTCAATGTTTTCAGATTACTGTCTTGTTTTTTGTTTTTGGAGGTCTCAAAGTCTTGACCCTGCGTCTGCCTCATCGCAATCATCGTCATTAACTTGTGTGTACACAATTAAGTCATTGCGAGAATAAGTAAACCGAGCTCGACTCTGGTCATGAGTATATCCCCCTCTTAAAGCTCTGTTCAAGCTTTTTGTCGTCGGTCTGAGTTTTGGTTTCGGTTTCCATTTCGACTTCAGTCTCAGTTCGATTTCATTTGATCTGGTCTGCGGTTGTGTTTATTGAGATATATCCCCGGCACCATGAAGGCCTGGGTCTGGTTTACATTTGTCGCGTGTCTTTTTGCGGCAAGTACAGAAGCCGCCTCCAATTTAGTCTGCTACTATGACTCTTCGAGTTACACGAGGGAAGGTGAGTAGCAGATCGAAATATTCAAAAGATTACAATTTAAATGAATGAAAATACGAAGTGTTATGAGCGCATAGGTACTGGTTTGTTTATCAACTAAATAAGCTGTAGAATGCTTCTCGCAAACAATAGATTTTGGAACAGAAGTCCAAGCTAGAACAATGAACTCTTAAAATGAAATAGAAGTTGTAATGATCTTAACTTAAACAAATAAACAAACAAATAAGTAGAATTTTATTACTTAAAAAATGTGTTAAAAAACAGTATTAACTACAAAAAGTCTTAAAAACCTATAAAGGGTATACTTCTATTCTTAAACATATTTTCATGTATATTTAAATTATAAAAAAAAAGTAAGCATTAACAACTAGAAAATCCCTATAGAAGCTAGACAAAGTAAAAGCATATTTAAATGTGTTTTTTGTTGATTTCCGAATAGGCTTGCGATAAAGCCTACAAAAACCCGACCAAAACTAGCACAACATTTGATTACCATGTGCCAAATTTACAAACGAATAAAAAACAAAAGCATGCTAATCAAGTTACATAACCGTTTGTGATTCAAAACAAAACTCGGATTTAATTTAATTCAGCTTGCAGTGCTTATCGCTTGGCGAGAGAAAAAGAGAGACAAAGCTAGTTCTATAGAGGTCAGTGGCTTATCAGACAAGTTTTTTTTCAAAATAATGCAGACAAACGGGCTCTCCCGCAGAGATTTCTCCCCACAAATCCCCATAAATAGCAGTTTCTTTCAACGGGTTAACAAGCTAATTAGAGCGGAGTTAACTTACCAAACAGTAATAATAAGGTGTAATTATTGAATGAGAACCCGAAAAATGGCAATTAGTGGATTATTTTGAGTTAAGTCGATGTACAGAGCCGATCCCACGCATTCGAAATGAAAACCAGAGCGTTCAACACACAGCGAGTCCAGCACGACAACTGCCCCGCCAGCGGACTTAAGCTGACTTGGCACCACCAGCGATCCACACAAGTGGCAAGCAGAGCACCAAGTGACTCAGCAGCGCGGCACAGTGTCCTCAGAACAGGGAAAAACTAAAGCAAAAAATAAAAAAATTATCAAAAATAATACTTAATGAGAGGTTCAATAAAAAAGACTATTAATAAAACAGGAAATAAAAAAAATAGGCAAGGCAAACTAAAAAAAAAACTGCAGTCGAGCTTATTAAGAAGAATATAAACACAAATAATCTAAAAAAATTATTTTTTCTTTAGTTAACGTAAGCTAAAATTTTTCTTTTAAGGTTTAAACACAGATATATTTTCCTTCAATTCCATTTACCTTTTAAGACAATGTCAGAATAATCGTGTATTAAAAAGTTGGATGTTTTCAAAGTGATCTTAAAATTTTTTTATAGGTTCAATGTTTTTTTTTATTTTATAAAAGTTATATAATCTTAAAGTGATCATACAATTTTTTAAAATAGTTTTAAGACTTTATTTATTTTAAAAATATTTTAAAATGGTCTCGAAGTCATATTTTTTTAATGGAACCCAACAACTATTTTTTAAATGTTTGCTACCCATTACAAATTTGCAATTTTTTCTCGCCCCATTGTGCCCCGCACCCGAGTCGAACCATAATAAACCGCTCGCTGGGCTCACACTGTCGGCGTTCAATTAAGCCACTGAAGTCGACGAGACAATGGATCAGTCTCCGGTAGGGGGCGTTGGGGCACTCAGGGGGTAAACCCGCCGATCTCGTCGAGAGCGAGAGTGTTGGGTGTCAGATCTCAGTGACCAGATTAAAGTCCCCCACAACAATGCTCTCTCCGAATCTCGGATTATTTGTCATTCAACTGCAGTTTGTCGTACATCTCGTGCATATTAAATAGAACAATCTTTTGAATTTAAACGTCGAATTTTCCAGGTCTGGGCAAGCTGCTCAATCCCGATCTGGAGATCGCCTTGCAATTCTGCAGCCACTTGATATACGGCTACGCGGGACTACGGAATGAAAACCTCCAGGCGTACAGTCTGAACGAGAACCTGGATGTCTACAAGCATCAGTTCTCCGAGGTGACTGCCTTTAAGAGGAAGTATCCCCATCTGAAGGTTCTGCTGAGTGTGGGCGGTGATCGCGACATCGAGGTGGATAATCGCAATAAATATATCGAGCTTCTGGAGGCCGAGAAGGTTCGTCAAGTGGGATTCATCCGATCGGCGTTTGACTTGGTCAAGAACTACGGCTTTGATGGCTTGGATCTGTCCTATCAGTTCCCCAAGAACAAGCCCAGGAAGGTTCACGGAGACTTGGGGTTGGCCTGGAAGAGTATCAAGAAGTTATTCACTGGGGATTATATAGTGGATCCCAAGTCCGATCTGCACAAGGAACAGTTCACCGCTCTTGTTAGGGATGTCAAGGACTCCCTGCGAAATGATGGATTCCTGCTCAGTCTCACTGTACTACCCAATGTTAACTCTACTTGTAAGTATTTTATTTTTTAAAGAAATATTCCAGTTGTAAGTTTAACTTTAATATAATCTTAACTTCAGGGTACTTTGACATTCCCGCTCTGAATGGCTTGGTGGACTTTGTTAATCTGGCCACCTTTGACTTCCTGACTCCTGCTCGTAACCCCGAGGAGGCGGATTATAGCGCTCCCATCTACCATCCCGATGGATCGAAGGATCGCTTGGCGCATCTCAACACTGAGTTCCAGGTTGCCTACTGGTTAAACCAGGGATTCCCAGCGAATAAGATCAACGTGGGTGTGGCTACCTATGGAAATGCCTGGAAACTAACCAAGGACTCGGGTCTCGACGGAGTTCCAGTGGTGCCTGAGACCAAGGGACCAGCTCCCGAGGGTGGCCAGAGCCAAAAGCCAGGTCTACTTAGCTATGCCGAGATCTGCGGAAAGTTGTCGAATCCCCAGAATCAATTCCTCAAGGGCAACGATTCGCCTCTGCGAAGAATTTCGGATCCCACCAAGAAATATGGTGGCATTGCCTATCGCCCCGTAGATGGTGCAATAACCGATGGTATTTGGGTGAGCTATGATGATCCCGATTCGGCCTCCAATAAGGCATCCTACGTACGTGCCCATAACCTTGGAGGCGTGGCCCTGTTCGATCTGAGTTATGATGATTTCCGTGGTCAGTGCACGGGTGAAAGGTATCCCATCCTGCGGGCAATCAAATATCGTCTGTAGAAACAAATAAAAATGTTATGTGGAAATATACTTTTAATAAAAGATTTACCTATAATGGAAATTTGCCCTTGAGAAGTATTTTACTCAAATTTAATTCTTATCTCTCTAAGAACTAACAGTTATTCATATTTTTGATAAGGCATTTTTGGGTTACCCATTGATTTATAAAACCTTGCATTTATAATGTTTAATGGTTAAAGCTTTTTAGTGTGATTGATCATCTTAACCGAATCTGTTTGTAACTTTTATTTATTTTGCACGTATTCGCTAAGTGCCTACTTTTATTGAACCTTGAAACCACATCGTTAATAATCCGCACATAAATATAGTAAGCTCCTCCAAAATCCCTTAACCACTTTAGAGCTAAATATTTACATATTTTTGTGCATGAGTAACGAACAGTAACGACCTTGCTAATTCGTCAACACCTTATAAACTGCAGACTTATCAGTGGGTGCAGCCATAAATAGTCGTGGCTTAGCCTATTTAAACTATGAATCGGTGGGTATTATCTCGAACAAGACGTACTATATGTTCCTGTTTTCTTTTTAGTGTAAATTACCGAGCCGAGAGGTGATCTCATTGAACCCGATGTCAGCTTGTCACTTGAGACAAACAATTTCGTTGAATTTCGTTGATAATAAGCCCCTCCGAATTACGTTTGCTATTGTTCGTCCGGGGTTTTGGGTTCGTTACGGAGAATCGGGCGGAGGTGGTTCCACTGAAAAGCTCCACAGTCCACATTTATTCCAATTCCCAGAGCCAAGTGTCATTTCGAATTCAGTTTGGTTTCGCATCTCGCCGGCGGCGGACTGTTACAAAATAATACCTCTGAAGTATATAGTATTTATTTACTGGACTTCGTATAGCTCTCTGGGTTTATCTCTCTCTCTGCAAAGATGACTGGCTCTCTGTGGCTCAGTTTGGCACTGAGTCTGGCTGTTTTGGCTCAATACCAAGTGAGCGCCACCTCTAATCTGGTTTGTTTCTACGACTCTCAGGGTTTCCAGCGTCAGGGTAAGTTTTTTTCAATTAAATATATACAATTTTCTAATTTTTAAGCCCCCTTTTTAGGCCTGGCTCAGTTTTCGATGACCGATATAGAGCTGGCCCTGCAATTCTGCACCCATTTAATTTACGGTTATGCGGGTGTTAATGCCGACAACTACGAAATGCAGAGCATTAACAAGAGATTGGATCTAGAGCAGCGTCATCTGGCACAGATCACCAGTTTGAAGGATCGCTATCCCCACATCAAGTTCTTGTTAAGCGTTGGTGGAGATGCCGATGCGAACGATGGGAACCAGTATATTAAACTCTTGGAGTCGGGACAGCAGGGTCACAGGCGCTTCATCGAATCTGCTCGGGATTTAGTCAGGCGTTATAATTTCGATGGTCTGGACTTGGCCCTCCAACTACCCAGGAATAAGCCCCGTAAAGTTCACGGCGATGTTGGTTCTGCCTGGAAGAGTTTCAAGAAGTTCTTTACCGGCGATTATATCGTGGATACCGAATCGGAAACCCACAAAGGTCAGGTGACTGCCCTGATCAAGGACCTGAATGCCGCCCTGAAACAAAATAATCTGCTGCTCAGTCTCACCGTTTTGCCAAATGTTAACTCAAGCTGTAAGTATACAAACAATTCCATTATTTATTCCAGCTAACCGGTGTAATTAAATGACTCAGAATGCGGTTTATTTGCGTCACTTAATAACGATGAAACCCACTGATAAAACAAACTTTTTTAATTGATTCAGAACTGTTGATCACTTTATAAGCAAATGTTTGTTTATGCTATAAAAAAAATGTTATTTTGTGGATAGTTATATAGAATATTTTATACTCTATGACCTCTAATTTTGTGGCAAGTCTAAGATAAATTATATCTAATGATATTAATGATATGATATGATACGATATGATATCAATATATTTTTGTACAAGTTATTATATATTTTATATAATAACAACAATATTATAAAATGTCCAGAATTAAAATATATGAACTAATGATATGGTGATATAATGATATGTTATGATATGATTTAACAATTTATTTTTGAAAAAGTTATTACATATTATTATATAATTCTTTTGGTACCATCAAGCCATTAAATGCATCTTTCTTTTAGGGTACTACGATGCTCCCTCGATTGCGCCCAGCTTGGACTTGATCAATCTGGGAACCTTTGACTTCGTCACCCCGCAACGCAATCCGGAGGAGGCGGACTTTTCGGCGCCGACTTACGGGGCCGTTGGAGAGAATCGCTTGGGACACTACAATGTGGACTTCCAAATGGAACACTGGCTGCTCCAGAGAGTGCCTGCCAATAAGATCCATATAGGAATTGCCACCTATGGCAGGACCTGGAAGATGACCAAGGATTCGGGTGACTCTGGAATGCCAGTGGTTCATGACACCGAAGGACCTGCTCCAGCAGGACCTCAGAGCAAAAAGGAGGGTCTCCTCAACTGGGCTGAGATTTGCCAGCTGATGCCGAACCCGGGTAATTCCAATGCCAGAGGACCGAGTGCCCCGGTTAAAAGGGTTATTGATCCCACAAAACGATATGGCAGCTACGCCTTCCGTGCCGCCGATGAGAATGGAGATCACGGACTATGGATCAGCTACGATGATCCGGATTCGGCCTCTGGAAAGGCAAAATACGCCAGGGACAGGAATCTGGGAGGAGTGGCGCTGTTCGATTTAACCCAAGACGATTTCCGTGGTCAGTGCACCCAGGATCGATTCCCCATGCTGCGTGCCATCAAGTACAGACTTCTCTAGGCCCAATTCAGACCATAATCCAGACATCACCAGCACGCAAATGTCACAAGGAAAATTGTGGGGCAGCTAAAACAAATGTCAACCGATCGGTGGCTTTAGGCCTCCTTCTGTGTCTGTCCCTTTTTGCAAATTAATTACAAAGTTGTAAACTAAAATGCACCGCAAATTAATTCGATGGGCTTGGTCTTCAAGGGAGGAGGGGAATGGAGGGTATAGCAATACACTGAGGAGAAAAATAGTTAACAAAGTTTAGCCCATCACCAACTAAGTGAAATTGAACTCGTTAAGATGTAAAGATTCTTTATTTTTGTTGAACAATCCTGTTTTGTTTTATTTTTGATTACAACATTATCAATTACAATATTTAATAAAAGCAAAATGAAAAATGTACTTAATATTTTATTAATACATATAAAATATGATATAATTTTTGATATACATTTTGTGATGATTTTTTTTGACTTTAGAAATTTTTCAAGACATCAGCCGGAACACTAGATTTTTTATGATCTTTGGTAGGAGAAAAAGCTTAATGATTCTTAAATATCTGTTTTTTATTTAATCAATTTTTGATTGTGACTATTTAAGCTACAATATTAAAAAAAAGAAACTTAAAAAGGTGATTCCTAAAAAAATTGAATTTACTTAATATTTTAGTAATAAATTAAAAATTTAATATATTTATTTTGATAATATATTTTGCAAATTTATTGAACATGTAATTGAATTGTTGTCTTAACAACTTTATATTTTTTTTTAAAGGTTCCTGCTAAAGCACTAGATTTTTTTACGTATATCGGTTGCCTTCCCTCTGGTTTAATTGCCCCTTTTGCATTGAATTGTTTGGCGCCCACGTCTGGGCGAATCGGTCGCTTTATCATCTCGGACCCATCTTGGTCAAATGGCATTTTGCGGTGGTTTTTTCTTTGCCGATTTTCCTCTCTTTTTGTGGCCCCTGCTCAGATTTACAGATTTCGCCACAGAGGCCCAAAGAGTTGGAACTACTTAAGTTGGCTTTTGTGTAATTGGCGCTACATACGCGACTCCGAAAAAGCCAAACCGAACCGCGATCCATATGCGTACTCCACCACGAGACTGGACTTCCCCCCGAGGACCGTGTGTCTCCCCTGTTTACAGAATTGCTGACATACCACCATGCAAAGGTTGCCACTACAGTGAACTGTGGCCACAAGGACCCGGATCGGGGGTGTCTGGACCGACTGCCTCGACTGGCGACGACAACGACACGATGTAAGACAACTAAATTAAGTTATTGTTTCTTGGGCAATCGCGAGGCACTCAATGACTTGGTCATACTCTTTAAGTAGTAGAACTCAAAATATCTTTTAAAAATTTAGACTACAACAAAATCTTGGCAATAAAATATAATATTAAGAATTCAAGTTTAAACAGCTATTTAACTTATTTATCAATAATTAAAAAAGTAATATTTATGAAAATACAATAAAATTAAACTTATGTATGGTATATAATTAAAATGCACTGGTGAGTTTTATAAAATATTTTAATAACTATACGAAGTCCAATAAATGTAAATTACTAAGTCTATTAGAAATGTATCCCAATTATTAAAGTTATTAAACTAATTTTCATAAACATATATCTGTGACATAGAGTCAACGAACTCCAACATGAAATGCCTTAAAATTCCTTCTATAATCTAATAATCTCTGGCCAACTGGAGAATTTCCTCCTTATGAATATGCTGTTTGTCTGGATCTCCCACACTTACCCAAACCACTGTTAACCAAATTCAAACCCTTGGAGCCTGCTGGAAGTCCGAGTTGCTATCTAGGCGGCTTATCTGGGAATCGTGATCTTATTAAGCTGACTATACACTCGGAAATTATTTGCAATTGGCGCAATGCCTTATTGGAATGCAAAATATGCCATTAGTGGCAGAAGTCGAGACTCTTGGCCGGGCCAAGCAGCTTCAGCTTCCCAGACTCCAAGTTAAGGGCCTAAAGGGCATGGATTTTGGTTGGCCATAGGGGATATGGTAGCAGGGAGGGGAGTGGTGGGCATGAGCATGCCACTTGCATAGCGTACAAGTTGTAAACACGGCATTGTTTTGGCCACCGTTCCATAATATAACCCAAAACAGAACCAAAGTCGAAAGGCACTCGGAAAAATCGGTGATTATATAGTTTTATCGTACTTAAAATGAAGAAATTTGGAAAAGGGAGGTTAGAAATGGTATGAAATAGATAAACAATATAAAACAGTTGTTACCAGCACAGCAACTGAGAGCTTATCGATGCTTGTGTGACCGCATATTGTATGCTGTGCATGTGTCGGCAGATCACCGGCAGAAAAAGATTGTATTCCTTGAGATAGGACCGCTGCTTCTGCTGGAAGCCCCTGTAATTAAATAAAAAAAACCTTTTGAAGCTTTTTAAGAATTTCTAGATGTACACCTTCCTAGTTATTAAGACTATAAACACTTTTAAAAATAATAAAATACCAACTAACAATGATGAGTTTTTTTAACAGTCAGTAAATAAAGCTCTTTAGATGATTTAATGAACCTTAGTTCTATCTCATATTATTTTTTTGAGTGCAAACTACTTGAATATATCGTTGATCGTGTTCCTAGACTGAGGACGAGGGACAAAGCTGCCGGGTTTTTGGCTTGTCGCCTCATCTAATTAAGGAGCATTTGGTCCATGGCGGCGTCTACAAGATCTGTTCATGATTATTGCCCCGGGCCATATCGCCGCCTGGAGCTCCCTGCGAATGACAAATATGCTGCCTTGCACCAGGGACTCCGACTCCCGAAGTCAGAGACTTCTGTTGTCTTCCAAGGAAGCCAGTCTCTGGCTCTTTAAATAAAGATATTTTCGGCCTCATTACGCGCTGTGTCCTTTTGTTTATTTGCTGTGGTTTCACTTCTTTTTCTTTATATATTTTTTTTGTATTTTTTTGGTGGCCGATGAAGTGTCGCTGATTGCGCGTTGCATTGTTTTGGCCAGGTCGAAAAAGCGATGATGGCTGGGATAAGAAAATGCATGTGGAGTGGTCAGGGATTTGGGTTTGTTAGCCAACGCGATATGATAAGCTGGCCGGGATCGATAGAGATTTCCTTGGAAAGTTACTGTGCCTTGAGATTAGAATGACTAAGTATACCAGGCTGCGGTTGAGACCTCTCAATTTGGCTTATACCCACAATGAACTTATTTTACTGCAGGCCATTCGAGGTTCCTCGTTCTCCTTTTTCTCTCCCACATTGTTATCGTCCTCCGGTTGCCTTGACTTTGCATTTTTATTGCTTTGTTAATTTTAAATAAGCCACGCGACTTTATGTTCGTATATGAGTCCCGTATAAGGCAGTCGTCGTTAAGGGACTTCGTTAGACGACTCGAGAACTTGAGAACTCGACCTGAGCCACCGGTCCATCCGAATTGAGCTGTCTCCTCCTCCAGCAGTTCATCTCAAAGATCGTTCTCGTCCAATTGTCAGCGGGTTGTCACACAAAATGATTTACAGATGATGATCATCGGGCCTGGACCATGGCCAAGTGGCGCCACTACATCGAGTGGGTCTTGTGGGAGAAGTTGGTAACATAATTCCCATGTTAAACCTAAAGAATGTTGAATGCCCTACATTTGTATGAAAGATTTTAACCTGAGGTTATCCCTACATTTATTGAAAATTTACCATACCTGCAATTAAAGACTTACCCTATCTTAATATCTAAGTTCCTGTTTAAGTAAGGAATTATCACACCTACAAATGGATTAAAAATAAATAAATCATTCAAACCAATAGATCCCACTTCAATTACCATATCAACTATCTAAATATACCCTTTAGTATTTTACAGAGTATATAAGGCAAATTCTCAGTCAGCATCGTGCGGAGCCGACATTCGTTTATAGATTTTTAACGCCCAGATCGTGAATTCGTCTGACCACAATTATTTTGAATACCAAAATAAAAGGCCTTTGCATTTTGTGTCTGTATTTTAGCTTTAGCTGCATTCTGTTTTGCCTTTGTTTTTATTCATAAACAAGCGACAATAAAAATGTGCCATAACAAGTTAAGGTTATTCTTGTTTAACGAAATAAACAACTCATAAAATTATGCTACACAAAAAACGACAGCAACAAGAACAAGAAAGTTTTGTTTATATTTTGTGTAAATTTCTGTTCGCACCAATTAAATTCAATTAGCTGTCAGCAGCAGAGGCGACTCTATATGGACCAATGTGATAGATATAGATAACCCCGACGCCCCGACATTTATGTATATGTACATAGATGTGTGTCTGCGGCTAGATATAGCGCCACTGGCTCATAAAAGGTTAGTTTAAACAAATAAACACGTGGATTTTAATGAAGAAACGTGTGTGGCTCTATGAATTATATGGCTTTGGATGGGATGCGGATGAAGAACTATAGGAAGTGAGGTTGATATGTTAATACCATAAGTGGGCATAATTTAATATTTTTGAAAATATGTGTGCCAAATATAACGAAAATGTTTTTTTTTAATATTTAAGAAAGAATTATTTGTGATCTAGTGCATAAAATAAGAGATTTTGTACATAATAATGGTATAATAATAAAAATCTATAATATTTAGAGTTAAAATATTTGCTTTTTCTTTTGTACTTTGGAAGAACTATGATACATAGCCTATAAAATCATTAAGAAACTCCATGTAAATACTGAAAATCTTTATCCGACCCTATCATAAACCTAAAAAAATGGCAACAACAACTGGAATAACAAACAAATTGCCAAAGACTTGTGGTCACCAAAGAATGTGCATAAACATTTGCCAAACTTTTGATTGCAGCACTAAAAATAAAACGCCCTGCGTTTTCCAGGGGAAACGTGTGAAATCATATTAGAGTCGGGACTAAAACTGGAATGGGGTCTACAAATCTAAAGGAATTAAGAGGGCGACGGGGATGACGACGCGCCTAAAGCAAACAAATAAAACGCTGCAACTAAATGGCCAACTAACAGCATCAACATCAACATCACATCGACTGGCGGCACGCTTTAGAAATTTAATTAAATCGTCAGAGGAACAATAAAAACTACACTATGGCACATACACACATCGAAAGAGATAGAGATACTGGGACAAGGATTTTTATTACGCACTGTGCGCACTATATGTGCAATAACTCAAAAAATAC